GACATTTATTTTTTTAAAAAAAAGCTTTAGGTTTTTTGTTTAAACGAAACCCTAGGGTTCATCACGTTTTTTTAAAAAGAGTTTGTTTTTAGTAAAAATAAAATTTTTTTCTCAAATAAAAATGAAAACCCGAAAATATCTAAAATTTTAGTTTTGTAAAAATTCCCTGGACGAAAAAAATGTTAAAATTTTCTTTAATTACTTAAATCTTTACGTGCCCTTTTTTTTCTGTTTGGGTTTTGAGGTTTTTTAGTTTTAAAGTGAAATTTTTGGGGGTTTGATTTTTAACCATCTTTTTTGTACAAAATTTTCCAAGTGGGCCACCTTGGGTTTTTTCCCTTTTGTAATTCGGTTTTGGATTAGTCTATCCCGTTATTTCCCTTTTTAAAATTGGTTCAATTTATTTAAGCAGTCCCCGTACCCTTGCTCAGCAAAGTTCGCTTCTAAAAATATCAACCCTTTTATTCTTTAAATGGTAATTCGTACTGTTTAAGCCTGGGATCGTTACCCTGGGGATATTAAAAACAGTCTTTTCCAAAACGCAATTTCAGTTGCTCAAGATGTTTTTTTGTTTTTTCTTTTATTGTCGTTTTCTTTTGGGAAAAGTCAGCGTTTTAAAAGTTTCTAAACGAAACATTTGTTCGTTTAGTTTTTTCTCATGTCTTCTGCAGCTGTAATGTTTATGATTTTGTTTAGAGGATTTTGGTTTAATTTTTATAATTTTATTGAGAGTTTGGTGTTGTTTGGGTTCCATTATGAACTAGAAATCCTACCACTTGTCAAAAAAATAGACACACAAAAATTAATTAAACAATTCATGCCGTCTAAATGTTTCTTTTTTTCTTTTTACGGATCTGCCTTTTAATGGCTTAAAATATCTTAAACTGGCAGAAAATGTTTTGCATATCTTTGTATACAGTATCGCACCAGGAGCGTAGCTTAGTTTTAATCCATGAGTAGGACTTCTTTCAGGGGGACTTTCAACTTTGTGAATTTCCTTGCTCTGGATTGTCTGAATTGATTTCTCTGTTTAGAAGAAAGAAATTGTTTACGTATCATCAAAGATTGAACAAATATCATATAATTCTAACAACACCATGCATATAGGTACCAACTTAAACCAGTGTAGACTTTCTTTACCACAAAACTACTTTCTACACCCAATTATTTTCAATAACACTTATCAACCTTTCGTCCCGGTAGCTTTTGATAAAAGATCAGTGCATATAGAAAAATACCTAGACGGAGGTGCATCATTCAGAAAAAGAAGTCATATTATATATGGCTTTAGTCAACTTTATTTGGCGGCCATTTTGAAAATGGCGGCCGCCTTGAATGAGCAGAGATATGTTGGGGCCCACTTCACTTTTGAAATCTACATGGTCTAAAGATAATACCCTGATGGTTTTCATTCTTGTATCACCATTTGCACTATTTTCTCAATTTCCCGACCCACAATATCCAGTGTGACTGTCAACATCATTCCCCTATCAACTCATTTTTATAAAACTATACAAGAATTATCCTGAAATGTACCATTTATCAAATTGATGACATCTGTAATTCTTAGTATATTTGATGGATTCTACAGACCTGCGAGCATTTTGTAGATATTAGAAAAATAATGACTTTAAAACATAACTCTTCGTAGCAATATTTGAAATTCATGCCAACATCACTCGTTTAAATTTTTTGTTACGTAAATATTATTTTCAAAAACAAAATTTAGCATAATCAATTGTGCATTAAAGGTAAATTCCCAGTGTTAGCATTTAGATATTAAAGTAATCCAATTTTAGGCTTTAACTAGAAAGTATTAACTGAAAACGTTTTATACTTTAATTTAATACAATATCCTTTCTTCAGAACGCTACATAATATTTTGATACTCTCTCCTCCGAGTCGATAAATATTGTTGACAAAAATAATAAACTTGATAGCAGGTTGTTTATATGTTAGTTTTAATTGTATATTGAAAAGAAGCTTACGACTCTAGAAAGCGGTATAGATTTTTCCATATTGCTGAAAGTTTTGTAAATTTACATAAATATTGACTTTTCTGTGTGATAGAGATCTATCATTTCTTTCCGAATATTTAATTTCAGTGGCCGATTTTACAGTATGAGGGAAAAGTTGCATTTAATAATGCTGTACTTAACTATAGGTGCCTTGATATTTTAAAACTACTTCTTGTTATTTGATTTATATCTAGAATAGAAAGTTACTTTAAGTACCGGTATATTCTGAAAGATATGATCCTTTTTAAATAAGTAACAACTAGAGCAGTGCCATAGTGAAAGTTTTCTATTGTTTATATTCCACATTTTTGCAAATGTAAAGATGCTTATTCTAAACGAGAACTTTTTAGATATGTAAATATCCTTTACACTTAAAATTTTCAATAATAATATGATCTTTACGTATCATCAAAGAATGAACAAATATCATATAATTCTAACAACACCTAACATTCAGTAGGTACAAACTTAAAAAGTGTGGACTTTCTTTACCACAAATCCCCTTTTTACCTTTCTACACCCAATTATTTTCAATAACATTTATCAAGCTTTCGTCCCGGTAGCTTTTGATAAAAGGCCAGTGTTTATGACGAACGGGTGCACCAGTCAGAAAATGAAGTCATATTCCCGTTAGAGTGTTATTGTGGCATAAAGGCAACAAGTGTGCCAAATTATAGGAAGTTCAGGTTTTAGTCAACTAAATATTCTGCGGTTCTTGAACTTAAACATGAACAGATGTGCCCTATTTCAGATTGTCAATTACCGTCTTAATTTACTGAAATACCATTTTACAAGATATTTTATTTCATATGAACTTGTATACATATATACAGAGAGCCGTTGTTCAGAGGGCTGCACTTTCAATCTTACTAAAGTTCAGATCTATTTATTTCTTACATGTAATCTGATAACCACCATAATATATGTTTCGCCTTTATTATGATTCGGATTTTCCGAGAAAGCTTTTTATAGCCACGCAATCAAATCGGTTTTCACAGATAGGCATTAGACGAAATAACTAAAATTTCGTTGTTCTTGGAAGTTAAACAAAGTGTTGATTTTGCTAGAAAAAATGGTTGAATGTCATCTGAAACAAGTAAACTGGAAATAATAGACTCAATTTTTAATGGACAAGATTGTATTGCCAGTTTTACCTGCCGGATATATTGACAACGCCTTGTTTGTTCTCGAAGAGAGACAGACTTTCAATAGCGCTTGGGTTCAAACCCCAGAAGATGCAATATTTTATTTCAATTTTTCTTCTTTTAGTTTTGTCAGATTATTATTTTCTTTCTTAAATTATTTCTAAAATTTGTTGTTTTTTTTTAATCAAGTTTTATGAACAGAACAAAACAGAACGTTTATTTTGACGTATACAAAGCACATAGTCAATTACATAATACATTCATACATACATATATACAATCACAAAATCAATGGATAGTCTGCAAATTTCTTGAAGGTGAACAGTTTAATCTATTTTGTTTCCTTCAGTATAGGATTTGACATAATCAGTTTAACATATATTACATTGTTTAATATTGAGTTACGAACATGTTGACAAAGATAGCGTGAATTTCACATACATTATTGTGTCACTTGCAATAAAGTTATCTATACATACGTAATAAACACCGATATCTAACTATATATACTATATTAGATTTCTCAAGGGAGCTAATTAATGTAGTCTTGTCCATATTGTATATTACGAGTTATGTAACGTATTACATCTATGGTAAGGTTACACTTCTGTATCAGTAGTACATGTAGTATAGCGTAATATTTCGATTTAATTAAATTACCAACTATAGTATCACACTATACTATACTATACTATATTGAAAGGGAATAGAACTCCAAAACTACAGTTAACCTTAAACGAAAAGAGAGAAGGTTAACAATTGGCTTTTCAAAAAAATATTTCGATTGCAAAGTTGTAATTTAAGAAAAAAGCCTTACGACTAACTTGGGTCATAAGACAATATAATATACTTAATACAATTCTTAACTGAGCACAGGAGTAATATTTCCATTTTTACAAACATATATAATATTATAGTAGTATCGTACCGAATGTGTAACTAGCAATAAAGTATACATACGTTAATAGACACCTATAGAACTTTATTCCCTATTGGTACGCGTTTAATTTTTGAGGCATGGAGGAGCACGTGAGCTGTTTTCGGTACATGGAGGAGCATGTGATCTGTAAACCGTATAATGATATTGGTTAATTGACCTATTCGAAACCTAGCTAAATACCGTTTCCCGGTAAGTTAAGGATTTACCTCTAGGGAATCATTGTATACACACCGGTCTCTCAAATGACCGGTGTACACAATGCTAGGGAATTAGTCCGAATTACACCTAATTAAGAACCTAACACTATTACGTGATATTTCTAATTTTCTATTATTATTTTACCGTTTAAGGTGGAAAAACTTGCATGATGTGTTTGAAAATTATAATTGTTTCTTTAATATCTATCTGAATTTTTACAGACAATAAATTGTTTATAGTGAAAATCCACAGAATTGAAACATACGTTTGTGGCATCTGCCATAATAGATAGAGATATTTTCTGAGTAAACTTGACTGTGTGTTTACTTTATTTTATTTTATTATTTTTTGCACCGAATTATTCATACAATGGTATTTAATCATTTTCTTAAACAGAAATATTGTTTTATTTTCGACCAAGACCAAAGACCTTCTTCTATTGATCGATTATTGTCAACTATATTCCTGATACAAACGTTTTTTTTCCCCAAACCATGTTGAAAATAGTTCAATGAAATATCTTTAAATCTTTATAAATGTTCCCCGCAGGAAACCATTTTACTTGTATAATATGTTAGATTTCGCACGGGAGTTAAATTAATGTGGTTTTGTCCATATTGTATATTTCGAGTTATAAAACGCTCATTGCACTATATTCAACAATGTTTTGGCTAATTATAAGATATTTTTTTATTATCTTAACTAAATATAACTAATAATCTATTTAATTAGAACTGTACAGTTGACCAGAAACATCCATATAAAGTTTGCTATCTTTTCAACAATGTTTGGCTTAATTATAATATATTTTCATAACTAAATATAACTAATCATCTATTAAATTAGAACTGTACGGTTGACCAGAAACATCCATATCAAACACTATCAGGCTTATAATAAATAACATCTTATTTACAACATCAAACTATAAACATACATATATACAAACTAACACAGTCTGGTTGACCAAAGCAACCATATAAACACTAACAGGCATATAATAAATCGCACGTTCAATATTTCAAGACAATTTTACACTAATCCGTAATATTAATAATCGAATTTCTTATAGACATTGCGTTTTTACAGTATAACCCTTATTTATAAAGAGCAGTCTTATTTTCTGTTTGTAACAATTCTAAAAACTTATATACACTTGGTTTGATATAATAATATTTTGCTATAATTTTTTTTCGTAAATCTGAATAGATAGGGCATATAATAACAAATGTATACTATTAACTGTGAAATGTGTGAAATTTGATAGCAAAACAAATTAATAATAGTTGCTAGATAATTATTATTAAACACATTTTGATGCCCGATTGCATTGTACAAAATCTAACGGGAATTTTTCACTCCATCCTCTTCTTATTTGATGTAAAATGAAAGGTACCTGTCTCAATAAACAAAAAAATATATTTTCATATAGATTTTACTTATCTAATTCATTTCAAGTTTTTAAAAATTACATGTATAGTTCTGTATAATCACTTTTCAAATATGGAAAATATGAAATAAGTGAAACTTTTCTACAGAAAATAAAAACAAAATTATTGTTGTTGTTGTTGTTGTTGTTGTTGTTGTTGTTGTTGTTGTTGTTGTTGTTGTTGTTGTTGTTGTTGTTGTTGTTGTATAAAACCGATACAAAAGTTGTTAACAAGATGGTAAACTTTTTTTTCTTTTTCTTTTTCTTTTTTTTTTAGTACTTATGTATAGAATATCATAAAGTTTAATAATATACAGTTTTAAACGCCTTTTGAAAAAAATGTAAGTTATACATCTTTTACTTTTATGTTATTAACTGACTGCGACTGGTCAATTAATATGAAACACGAAATCCAGTGAAAGTAGAAAAAAATGTCATTTGGTCTTGTCCAAGGCATTCCGATAGCATAACAATATCTCCTGCTTTTAAACGATAAACAAGTGATGCTGATCCTGACTGATATCCATCATTGGCACCAGTATCACTGTTCACTATTAACTTGCGAATGCCGTTGACATAAAAACCACATACGAAGTTATCAGCACCCGATTTTCTGATAAGAGTTGTTGTGAAGAAGTAGAGTCCTGGATGTCTACAAGTGAACACACCTGAGGACACATTATAGTCGTCGCCTGTATTGTATATTACGTCTTTGAACGTAAGGGGAGAACCGGAGGAAGTATCTGGGTTATCTACAGCAAATCCGACCGACACGTCTGAAAAATAATATTGAAAAATTATAACAAATCATTTTTACACAATTTTTTCTTAAATGTAAAAGTTCACCCTTACGTTCCCAAAATAATGTCTGTCATACAAGATCAAAAAAATCTGATAACTACCTCTTTCCTTTTTATTACAGTGCAACCGTGCTAGTTATACACCCATTTATTTTATAGAAAGTGCCTGAAGTTGTTTTTTTTTAAAATATTGATGCAACTGATAGTAAATATAATTTAGAGCTAATCTATGTAATTTCTTAAGGTAGAATATTGATTGATACATATAAAGAGCAGTGTAATTACTTGATTCATTTAATTTGTTCGTCAAATTTTGGAGAACTTCTGTCTGAATCTGTCCCTGTGCGTGTTCAAGCTTATCAATTTTTTGGCTTAGAGATGTCACCAGTTTCTGCATATCCTCTCCTAAAGAGTAAACGTTTTACAAAAGTAATAAAACATCAATGTAGTAAACCTGTTCTGGTTCCAAAATTATTTAATCTAAGCTTTTTATCACAAATTGTACATTAGTGATAAATCTCTAGATGAGTTAACAGAAATACATGAGAAAGCTAGTTTACAATATTTCAAAATAATGTATCAATTTATATTTAACTTCGGAACACTTCCTCTATTATTCTTATTTGAGCTTACCCGGAGAATGACGGAAATAGCCGATATGTTTCAATCGTTCGCATATACAATTCGACCAATCAGAAGTTCTTACTTTTGAAAAATTTCAACAAATCACCAGATGCAAAAAAGCCATCTCGCATGGTTCTTTTTAAAGACGCAAACTTGTTATGCTCATTATCAGTATTATGACGTTCTAGCAACGTCGTTACATTACTTTCCCCTACGAGATGTTTCGTGCCGAGACTTGGCATGAGAAATAATTTGGTACGGCAACTCCAGTCCGGAAGTTGTCTACATCATCCCACCGCTACAACCAAATGTATCGGTTAAAGGCACATAAACTCTGTCTGTTGAAACCTAGCTCACCACCAAGAGTGGTTTGTGTCCTTATATATTGGAATCGTTCCCTTATGTAAATTTACCAACTTTAGTTTTTGCCTATTATTATGCTCATTATCGGTGTTATGACGTTCTACCAATGTCGTTACAAAGGTAGCAAAATGTAAGCAAAATAGTATTTTGACTTCCATACAAAATGCTTATTCTACAAATTGCCAATGGAGCAAAAGTTGCAGTCACGAGTTCATGAATATTGCTATTAAGATTTGTTTAAAAAAAAAACTATGATAAGTTACAAAAAAAAGTTTTGTAAACTAAAATTGAAAGCGTTTCTGAGGCATAGTGGGCCTTTAAGTATTTATAAAAAATGATGATGATGATGATAACGATAATGATGATGATGATGACGATGATGATGATCATAATGATGATGACGATGATTGACCTATGATAAATGTACAATGTTGATATTGCTCAATTAATGTTTGTAATATATGTTACAAGAAAGCATCTCCCATTTTAAATCATCAGATGTATGGGGCGCTTTATCCGTCAAAATAGAGCATCGTGATATATGCACCCCCCATTGGGAGCTATGTAACACCGCACTTTAGGGTTAAACGCACTTTGGGGTTCGACCCCAAAGTGCGTTAAACTTCGCACCGCACTTTGGGGTCCAACGCACTTTGGGGTCAAAATCGAGAAATTGACCCCAAAGTGCGTAAATATGCTACATATCAACGCACTTTGGGTTCCAGAGGTCTAAAGGTGTCATCTGAGTTCTGCTTAAATACTGAGTACTGTCTTATTTTCGATCTGCGACATTGAAATATTTGAGGTGGAGAGTTCAAGATGGCGGCCAATACTTTATGATGCTTAAGTGATAAAAGTTTTATTAATTTTACCACTTTAAATATCTAAAAGTTGTGTTCATATAACATAATTACGGTGGCATAAAAGTGACATTTGCATGTTTTTTAATTTATTTTAGTTTTGCATACATATTTTATTTTAGTTTTGCAAACATATTTTTTTTCAGTTTTGCATACATATTTTTCTTTTAGTTTTGCATTCATATTTTATTTTAGTTTTTCGTACATATTTTATTTTTGTTTTTCGTTAATATTTAAACCAATCAAAACAGCCTTCACATCTCATAACAGCCTATATTTGAGTATAAAACTAGCACAGTGGTTTGGTCACATTTCGGCCCATTTTTGGAATCGGCCCAGTCATTTTCGGCCGGGCAAGTCTGGTTTCGGTCGACCCTTTTCAGCCCAATTTTTAAATTATATGTATTTTATGTAATTATTGTTTTTTTTTTTATTATTATATACTATTATATTAGTGTCTATTTGGAAAGGGCTGTTAATTGGTGATTAGTTATTATTCCATGAATATGCACCACTCAACCCCACCCTTTTGAGAATAGCGGGGGGGGGAGGGGCATTGACTTTAAACCAAGCCGAAGCACATCCAGATAAATGCCAGGTGTGCCGGCTCAAGGTCAGGGTCACACCTACAGGTCAGAGGATTGAGCATTGGGTTTCATGCCCGCTTCCTATCTCCTAAACCCCGTGAAGGATTTTAAGGCACCTTGTGTCAAATGTTAATCACATCGAGAGCATATGCAGAACCTTCTTTTGCAATCTAGACATTTGTAATATGTGCGTTACCGCGGACTATATATATATATATATATATATATATATATATATATATATATATATATATATATATATATATATATATATATATATATATATATATATATATATATATATATATATATATATATATATATATATATATATATATGTTGTTATTTTTTTTGATGCCTCAAAAATGAAAAAGTTGTTTTTTGCAAATGGCATTTGCAATTGGGGTTCTGTAATTTACAGATGGCGAAGTGTTTGAAAATGGTGTTTTACAAATGGCGTAATTATCGTAACCTCTACTTTGCAAATGGCGTCATGTAAAAATATGTACGAAAAAACAAAAATAAAATATGTACAAAAAACTAAAATAAAATATGTATGCAAAACTTAAGTAAAATATGTATGCAAACTAAAAAAGAATATGTATGCAAAACTAAAAAAAGGTATGTATTCAAAACTAAAAAAAATGTACGACAAACAAAAAAATATGTACGAAAAAACAAAAAAAAAGTATTAAAAAAAAGATGCAAATGTCACTTTTATGCCACCGTTCAAAATACTCTAGTACAGAAATTGTGTATTCCTAAAATTAAAAGATGTTGCGAAAAATATCCCGTTCTGTCAGTCATTTACTTGATAACTTTTGGTGCCATATTAAGCCCCATTTTAAATATGTTGGGAATGAAATAAAATGCTTTTAATATTTTTTCCAAAGAACTATAAATATCTATTGCAATGTTCTGGTGAAACATCAAGTTTTTCGATCAGACTATAAATATTGATTTTTACAAATACATTATTAAGCTTATGAACAAACTTAAGGTTTTTTGTAAGCTCCGTAACAACCGTTCGCCAGAGGCTTTTTTTATGTGAACTCTTACATACTTCTTTAGAAAAGAGCAAACATGAATTTTATAATGTTAAAATAATGGTATCAGAGAAATGTAAGATGCTTGTTACCTGAATAAAGTAGAGATAAATGTGAAATTATTTGTCATAAAAGTAGTCATAACACTTCCATATAAAATACTAATTCACTATCACTGTACTTATCATTGCCAAAAAGCAACAGATGAAAAAGATGGTTCAGGTAATTGGCCAATGTGTATTTTTTGGATAATATAGAAGAACATCAAAATAAAAAAAGCTTTTAAGAAAAACAAATAAAAGCATAATGGGCCTTTAAAACATTATTTTTTTAACACTCGGGGGGATCGATACCCCACAATCCCCTCTATACCTCCAGTGAGAATTTTACATTATTCTGAAGCTCCGCTCTTAATGTGCGACTACTTAAATACATGAAGTTGATATTTTAGTACTGCCTGTACGGACTACTACTTAAAGCCGCATCTACACCTAGTCAA